ATTCCCCCCAATATTTGAGAAGTTTTCAGTTAGTATTTCATTAAATTAGATTACTATAGCTTTTTTTTTGTCTTCTTTCCAGAGGCTCTATAAAAATATGAATATTTTTATTTATTAATATATTAAAAAATGAATGTTTTTATTCTTAGTGAAATCCCACAAATCTCAAAGACTTTCTTCATTTTCTTTTTTTTTTTGTCTTATTTTTTATGTGGTAGGGTGGGGACAAGGGAGTGCAGAGAGAGAAACATGGATATTTCAAAAGACCYGTTTTCAAGTTCAGAAATTTTTCTTCTGCTTGATCTATTTTGTAGTTTTTTAAAACCTCACTTTCATTTTTTTTCATCTATCTAGTTGTCAGCACCAAGATTTTTGTTTCTTAACAATGCYCTTCACTCTGTTGAAATTCTAATTCATAGCATAAGTTGTTTTACTAAATTCATTGATTGGCTCCTTATCTTCTCTTATATCTCATTAATTTTGTTTTAAAAGTATTATTTTGAATTCTTTCTCAGGCAATTTATCGATTTCATTTTCTTTTGGCACCACTGGTAGACAGATATTGTGTTCCTTTAGAGATGTCATGTTTCTCTGCTATTTAATGCTTCCTATGTCCTTATGTTGTACATCTGATAAATCAAATGCCTTTGCTATTTATGAGATGGATTTCATAGCAAAAGACTTTATGTGGTAATGTGTCCTAGGATGTTGTTTGGRTAGGCTTATGATGGCTTTGGTTAATGTTGGGAATGCAGTTTCTTCAGTTCTAATCAAGACCAATGATGCCCATGAATGTCWTGGTGAGTAAGGCTGGACAGGATTGAGGGATTGTTCATTTATCTAGAGTGCAGCTTTCTTAGGTACAGTGGGTTTACTACAAGCTCTGGTTGTGGTACATGAAGTTGCAATTGTGGGATATCTCTCAGTTTCTGCAGGTCACAGAATGGTGGGGCTACTCTGGCAGGTCCAAGCAGGCAAGGTACAGTTAGTTGGCATGTCAAGATAGGCAGGGCACTTATAAAATCTGAAGGCTATATGGGAAATAGGATTCTTCCATTGGCCTTGGCATRCATGGCATGGTACTCTTGACAGTAGGAACAGGGTRTCTGTTAGTGTCTAAGTGCTATAGGGTGGCTGGACTGTACCAGTAGTACAAAAAATGGTTCTTTTCTGTGTCTTGAAGGTTTAAGGTACCTYTGTGAGTCAGTGACAGGTCAGCCATTCAGGAAAGGAATGAATCTCCTAGGATGTGGGCAGATGGAAACGATCACTCAAATTATTTACTGGGGCCACAAGACAGTAGACTAATCTACTCTGCAACTTCTATGGCTCAAGGGTGTGGGCTGGGCCATCTAACGGATTTGCAGGCCTCAGGAGGTTCGGAAGGGCCATGTAACTACTTCCTGGGATTGGGTGGGCTATGGCATTTGAGTGCAGGCCACCCTGTAGATTTCTGGAGAAGAAAGAGGATGGACAAAACCATATGGTTAATTCTCAAGTGCCAAGTAAWCTGAGTTGCTAGTGCAGGCCATCAGCCACTTTGTAGAACATRGGGTGGACAGGCTCTCAAGGTGTCATTGTGCAGCATATTTTGGGCAAAGAGGTTACATGTGGATCAGGCTTTTTCACCAGGATGATGAAGTGGCTAGTTCATTTCTATGCAGATAGTATGATTGTGAGTGTCAAAAACCCTAGACCCTCAACAGAAAAGCATATGTAATAAGTGATATTCATCACTGGCTYAAGGGGATTAAGTATAACTTCTGACCAAATGTAGACTATATAAATCCCACTCTGAATATCAATAAGGAGATAAATTATATCAAAGAGCCAATGGACATTCCTGCAATGGAAACTATAATCGCCAAACTTTTAAAAAATCATTAAAAAAGGAGATCAGCAGAAGATCTGAATAGCTGAATAAGATGAGAAAGCAATGAACAAACTTGAAGATGGTTCTTTAGAGAGGACACAATATGAAGAAAGACCAAAGCTAACAATATCTCTGAAAAATATATAATCCAGTATGGAGCAGTGGTGTGAAATTGTGTTTCCATTTATAAAAGAACATTGAAAACCCCTCTTTGAACATTACTTTCAGTAAATTCTCTTTTCCCTTTGTCTGCACTCCCAATACTAGGAATCTTATAATTTTTCACATATTTCAAACACCTGTTACCTTTTTATRTTTCTTTTTTGTATGCTTCACTATATCTCTTCCAGAAGATTAATTCTGTATATCTGTGTGCCCAATCAACTGTTCAACTCATCTACTAAGTTCTTTTTATATTTATAATTTTTAATTCAAAAATATCAGTTAGGTAATTTCTAAATCACTGAGATTTAGAAATTTTATGTTTTATGTCTTTCTTATGTTTTGTACATTTTCTCCTAGTTTGAGATAGATTAATCATAGTTGTAAATTCATGTACTCTTGTTCTACACTATGAATCATTTTAGCACTAGATCTGACCTTCTATCTCCCTATTTSTGCCTCCTTATTTCTATATTATTTAACTGTAATAGTAAGTCATGTTTATGTTTTTCCTTTCAGCACATTTTAGTTTGTTTTAGCACATATTTTTAGTCTGCTCTAAAAGAATACTACACATTGGATAATTTATAGAGAAAATTAATAATATATTAATTCATGGTTYTGAAAGCTGTGAACTCATAGACTGAGGGACTGCATGTAATGAGGCCTTCCTGGTGCAAGAAGGAGATTGCTTTTATGAGAAAGGCAATCCTGTGATAACTGTACCACTCCCATAATGATGGCCTTAATCTGTCATGATGGCCTTGCCTAAACACTCATAAAGACTCACCTCCCAATACCATTACAGTGGCAATGAGATTTCAATATGAGTTTTGGAACAGACATTTGTACCATAACAGTATAGAAATATTTGTTATAAGCTGGTAAWTGTACATGGAAACACCAAGTGGCTCCACTACAGAGTTCCCATTTCCTATGTTGGGAAGATGGACTAAGTGGCTGGTTACCTAAGTCAATCATGGATTAAGCTAAACCAGAGGTAAGCGAGTTTTCAATAAATCTTGGATTAATCTTTACTTWTGGGGCACTGCTCAGATATGGGCCTGCTCGACTTTCACTTGGGAGTGTACATGACACTAACTGCTCAGCTTTGAAGGATTACGGGGACTAATGTCTACCATCTAAAGATTCATAATCTAGGTCTTCAGCCTTCTGTGAAATGAAAGGCCAGAATTCAGTAAGTGTCTTTATGGAGAAACTGAATGTGCTTGAGACAAGCCACTTCACTGTGTCTTGTGTACAAAATGTAACATGGATTTAGGAAAAYATGCCTTTTAGAAATTTCAGAGTAGCTCACCAACATCTCACAATGCAGAAGAGACTTTGGGGAAAATGATTACCAGTGGAAGTCCCCCAAATGTCTACTTTATGAATGCAGGCCTGRGAAGTAACTAAGAGGACTGGAGTTCATCTGCTTCTCAGCAGAGTTCCTGTCCTCCAATGGGGCCAAACCTCCTCCTCTATTCACATCCAGCATCCACTAGTTCTCCAGAGAAAAGAATGCCTGTCGATACTCAACTCACTTCACAATTGTGTTCCAGTTGGAAAATTTAGTTCATTGAGTTCTCCTTGCCTCCCAGCTTTCTAATGACCTCGAAGTATGGTTTTTAAGGTTTAATTAGAGATCTCTATGTCTTTTTCCCCAGAGAAAATATACTTTAACAAGACTTATCACATCCTACATACAATTGTAAATATCTTTTTTCATTCTATTTTTATAATCAAAGTTGTGAAGGAGTTGAGAGGCAAGTGCTTTGGTCCTGTTTAGAGATTACAAAGACATTCTCCCTAAGTTTAAAACATATTCTCAAGAGAGTAAAGGGCATTGTGGAAAAAATTCAAATCTTCTGATATCTGACTCCTTTCTGTATCCACCATCATACCAAGGTAAGTTTTATAGCCCTCAGAATTCAGTCGCAAAATAAGATACCACACTCCTGAGATAACCACAAGTTACTAAGTAGAAGGCATAGCTGTCACCATTACGAGTGGAGATCAACAGGAAGAGGTTGAGGATGTTCAAACCCCAAGCTTTGGAGTAGGTTCCATGGTTCTAGGACCCCAACCTCTGAGRACAGGTACAGCCAGCTTGGTGCTGAACCTCTGGAATCTGGCAGGGAGCCTAGAGAACCAGGACCCAAGATTCTGAGGGTATGTTGTTTGATACCTTTTCTCTGTCCTGGGCTGATGATACTTGTGCTTCTGGAAGTTACTAAATATACATAGGAATTACATGTAGACTGAAAGCTACTGCTGCTGCCTAGATAAAAACTCTAACCGAAGTGATGCTGATACAAACTGTAAGCAGTTCCCATAGATATCCAGTCTCCCTGTGACTCCCCCAAGGGCAGAAAGTGCTAGGGAGGACTGCAATGAGGTGTGATTTGTGAGTTTCCTCTCTCCCTGTGACAGGGAAGACTGAAAAAGGAAGATGGTTTGCAATTGAGAGAAGCTGAGTACACACCACACACGATCCATCCATACAGTAGGCCTTTGGCTCAAGAAACACAAAGAACTATTTTCCATGAAAAATAAACCATGATGTGGGGTGAATTTGGTGGTAGAATGCTTGCCTAGTGAGGACAAGGTTCTGAATTCAATCCCCAGTAGAGTCAATATGAAGAAAAAAAACACACTAAAATTACTTGAAATAATGAAAAGGGAGAATGAGGTAGGAATTACATATATTAAAAAGCGAAAGTTTATGATCCTGAAGCAATGTCCTCTGAAAYTTTCTGCCAGTGGTTTCTAACATTTGCAATAACATTTCTACTGCCAGGATACTAAAAGTTAATGGATGGTAAATTTCATTGAGGATTGGGATTATTTTCTGAAATTGCAAGAAATTTTATCTTCTTTCTCATGTAAAAGTTCAAACATTGAGTTCTTCTCTCTCAGGTGAAAGTGAAGTATGAGCACCCAGCTACTGCATCTCAGGTAAAGTTTAATCACTCAGCTGTTCCATCTCAAGTGAGGTGTGATCACTCAGCTGTTCCATCTCAGGTGAAGTGTGATCCCTCAGCTGTTCCACCTCGGGTGAAGTTTGATCACCCAACTCTTTCTTCTCAGGTGAAGGTTGGACACGTTTCTCTTTTTTCCTAGGTGGTGCTTTGTGCATCTTTACAAGCAAAAGTAACAAACTCATAAACAAAACCAAAAACGGAAATAAAAAAAAAGGACCTTTCTTCTTCTTYATCCACTCTTGCACTGTTTTCCCAGGAGGTGGGCCACTGTCAACACTCCCTCCATGGCCTATTTTTATACAGTAAGGGGGCTCCCAGTTAGGGTCACAATGGCAGTGATGTTTGTTGTTGCAGATCCCTTTCCTATCACAGGTCTCTGGCGAACAATCACTTGTCCACAGCGACATAGAGACACACTTCTGGCGGATGCACACATGTTCAGCACCACACTCTGTGCCATCTTTCACGTCACCAATATCTGGTACAGTCATCCCCAAATGATAGTCGGTACCCCAGCAGGTCACACCATTGAAGTCAATCCAATGCACAGTAGTGTGACTTCTCAAAAAGGGAATTTCTTTCACATTCTCACACTGAACTCTTCCACAGAGGAAATCTGATTTATTACACYTCACATAGTTTTCACCAACGAGACCACAGTTACCAAAGCGGTCACCTCGGCTGTTCATTTCTGTGTAGCAACTCTCCTGTGCACTCCTGGATTCTTTGCCAAAGATCTGTCTGCACTGTTCRTCACGTGCATTGCATCTCTTCTCATGGCAGTAGCCACCGCCCATGCAACGGACCCCATCCTGCACATACACATCTTCTGGACACTCAGGTGAGGTGCCATTGCACCACTCTGGAAGATCACACTCACTGACATTTTCTCTACACACTTKACCTGGTGGCAAGAGAAGGCAGTCTTCACAACAAAGCCCAGAGGCACATTCAGCCCCAAATTTCAGAGTGCAGTTTTCCGAACAACATGGATGGTTTGAACACAAAGTTGGGGATCCACAGTCACATTCCTCTCCTCTTTCAACCACACCATTCCCACAGACTGTCCACCTGATGATGTCTGCTTGGTTTGGTGCATTGTGCATACAATTCAGAACTGGAAAGGTACTCCACATTTGAGCATAACTGCAATTGCTGAATCTATAGCCTTCCATTTCTGATGCATGCATGATACAAACACGATGCTCGCATTTACATTCTGGTGCATCATGATGCATACCCAGATTATGACCCATTTCATGTGTTATGACAAGTGAAATATCATACAATTTATCTCCCAGGAAACTCTCAATTCCACAATTATAAGGAGGTATACAAACAGTTCCAACATAGGCTAAGCCAATATACCTATCAAAAGTTTGGTGTGCCAGAAAATGTGCAATATCATTTTTTATGCGAGAATTTAGACTGGCTACCTTCCAGTCGCAAAACAGTTCCAGGACTTGAACCATGTCATTAGTGACATTGAGAAGRTTCTTTTCATTCCAGACCTCAATTCCAAGTATAAACAAATCAACATCCAATGGACTTAAAAGGGAATGTATATGATTGRCAATGACAAATACGTCCTCTAATACAAGTGAGACATTACTTTTCTTATAAAGGAATCGCTTATAGTCTACAACCAAAACTGTTTCTAGAAACCATTTGTGGGTCCACCACCCTTTATAGCCACTTTGCCTCAGAATGGAATTATCACGCCTTTGGAGCTTCAGTTGTCGTGCTAGTTCTTCTTCTGTTAGTCCACATCTCATGGGTGSGAATTGTGTCTTCTCTCTCTGCATCTTATAAACCAGATGTTCAAATGTGGCAGAAAGTCTTTTGGGTTTGATTTCATAAACAATGTCATGGATCTCTAGCATTCCTTGAAAGCCCCCCAAACAGGTGCTAAGAGAAACTAGGGATTCTGGGTCCCCTTCCACAAAGCCGTCATAGTAGCAGTCACTCTGGACAAAAGGGTGGTCCTCGAGCAGAGCACCCTGRTCTGTGTAGGTGAACACAGAGAAGGGTTTGGACACCAGAAGTTTCTTGGCCTTCATGTGGACAATGTGTTTCTSGCCTCCAAAGTACAGACTGTAGGAGATCCAGTCAGGGGGTCTCAWKMCYCTATGGGTGCCAGTWATCCTCAAGGGTATCACTACTTCTGGGAGGCTATGGTGTTGAGAGTGCCCAATCTGGGCCCATCCAGAAAGGAAGAGCAAGATGCTCAGGCAGAGTTTCAGGAGAGTGATCCTCATATGCACCAGGGCCTCACCCACAGCCATCATGGTMTGTGACTGGAAGCAAAGAGGCAGGGCAGGAGGTGCTGTTGTCCTGTCTCCTCCCTTTGACTTGGTTGCAAGCAGCACTGACCCTTAATGGGATGTCTCCTTCAGAGTCAATCCGTCAGAGCCACAGAACTAAAAGAAAAAATAAAATAAAAAGAAGGGCAGAGATGGGGTGGCTAAATTATCAACAGGCCAAGGTAGAGAGAACAGCAGGGTATGGGCTCAAATGCATTAGTGTTTAGTTTAGGGCRTGACTAGATATTTTGCATTGGATTTTCTCTTAATTTTGGTGATGCAGAATCAGATTATGGGAGTTGAAAAGAATGACAACTGGCCACTGGTTGAAAATTGCCAAACACGGATATAGGAGACGTGGGTTCATGATACCATTCTCTAAGTATATGAGTATGTGAGAACATTTCCACAATAAATATTTAAAACAAGAGTCTGAATGTAAAGGTGAATATAGAAGTTGTTTTGATGAGGGAATCTGTATTTATATGAATTGGATTGGAATAAGTAACAATAGTTTTTCCTTCCTATTTCTAAGGATTATTTAGTCACATTACTCATGAGAAATATGTAAAACAATTCTCACATACATTACTTTTCTTCATGATTCTTAATATGGACTTCCATGCAACTAAGGATTTGTTCAAAATTCCTCCAATCCTGTCAGATTTCAATGTCAAAGCATCAATTATCCTTCAAAAGTAATAAAATTTGCTTATACTAGATACTTTCCGGCATTAAAACAAGCAATGGTGGAATTGGAAGGGGGAGTACCTTGGGTTGATACATTTCACTCAAAGGTATTTATATGTGATTACACTCATATAAAATAATATTTTTCAAAGTCTGGGACCCTATAAAAATAAAAAAAGCAAACTAGCTGGAAGAGTAACAGTGGGAAAAGAGAAGGTACTAAAAGCAAAATAAAGTGTCTTCAGAAATGAAAAAAAAATATCAATAAACCCTGGGAGGATGGAGTAAGCTTCAGTGCAGGTGTTGCTGTACCAGAGCAAAGACATCAAAATCCCTGGCATTTCAGGATGCTGAGGAAATCAGCTCCAAGTTCAACTTTCCAATGGATTTGTCTCAGAAATGACAACACATACAAAAATACAGATTAAACAATAATTTTGATAATACAAATATACTCAGGAGGTTCTATTGGGTGAGGCGCTAATTTRCACAAATGAGAAATCTGATAATAGCACACTGCCCGGCCAATAATACTGATTTGTTGCTTTGTTATCAGTATCTGCAGAATATGCAGATACTGCATGGCACACCTGGGAAACATCAAAAGATGATACAGGTTAATGATATGGAACATATTTTTCCACAGTGTTTGCAGCAAACATATAGTTTAAGMATCTGTTAGATTACATTCAATAGATTCCATATAAAAATACCTGTTTTTCTTGACCTTGTGAGAGTATCCATAGTTTTCATGACATTTAATACCATAGCAATAMTATCATAAAAGTGATGAGATTGAGAACCACCACACTGTTTGGGGGAGAAAGAGCAACAACGTCAGCAGAGAAATGTGGAATCTGCAACGAGGGATCTAAAACACCCTGATGAAACACCACTTCCCACAGTAGGAAATTCACACACAAAAGTGTCTGGACTCAGGACCTCTCGCCTCCTGGACCCAGGACACATTTCTCCTTAGTTTTTCTTTGATCTTGATTCTAAGTTCTTCAAGTTTTCTCTCTCCCCAGAATCATTTTCCGGTCACTTATGGAATCGTTCACTCATGAAACAGCARCAGTCTCTCCTCTATTAACACTTCTTTATGGAGAACACTTTTTTCCTAGTTAATTTAACATTATTTTGTAAGTCAACATTGGGAAGCCCACCAGAGGAGATGTCTTCCTTTCTCAGAAGTCCCTTTGTCAGACAGATCAGATATTCAGTCTTACCTTGCTTTGGTTGCCAAAGCCACTTCCAAACCAGAAAACTAGCAGCCATCTCCTTCCACCATTATCTACTATTCTTCCTTATTCCTTCCTCAACCTCCCAATAAATCCTGCACAAGCCAGAACATATTGGGTGCCTACTCCTACTTTCTTCTCCACCAATAACCTTTTCCATGCTCTCTATGCATTTAGCAAGCCTGTGGGCAACCACAAGCTCCCAGGTGTTTTTTTGTTACCGTTACAACTTGTGCTCAACAGTTTTGAGCCATTGACTGAAAGCTGTGTCCTATATCATTGTCATGATGCTTGGCCATCTTAACTCTCACATATTAGTTAGCCATAACTTTATTCTTAAATGAATGTTATTTATCAGTTTCATATAGGATGCACATAAGTTTCCTTCCATCTTTTTCCACTTTTCAAGTTTCCATCATAGACCTGTCATCCCCATACCCCAGCCCAGCTCTAGACTCCATTGGTTCAAACACTGTTGGCCAAAATGCTCCACCCAGTCTAAATTAATGCTTTCACCACTATGGTAACACAATGCCAATTATTCTGGGGAAATAAATCACAGTACAGTCTATTTAGGAGGATGTGTAAGTGAGGGAGACATACAAATAGCCTGATAGCTCAGCCTAAAGATGAAATCACAGATATTGATTTTAAATACTTCCATGCTTTTAGTAATCTGTGCCTTTGGGCGCAGTGGTGCATGCCTGTAATCCCAGCAGTTTGGGAGGTTGAGACAGGAAGATGGGAGTTCAAAGCCAGCCTCAGTAAGGGTGAGATGGTAAGGAGGTGCTAAACAGCTCAATGATAACCTGTCTTTAATAAAGACAAAATTAGGGCTTGGCTGTGGCTCAGTGGTTGGGTATCCCTGAGTTCAATTCCCAGTACTCACCCCACCCCCCACCCTGACCAAAAAATAATCTTTGCCTTGTTGTTTACATGTTTTCCTAACTTTCTGGGGTTTTTCCCCCTGAATTTCCTCATTGATACATAGGACTCTCATCTGAAAATCAATATTGTCTTTGTTTTGCAATTTGCAATTTTATCAAATTTCATCATGGTAATTTAAGTTGTAAAACCAGGAATTCTACATTTAATGCCTATTTTAAACAGGATCAGGTCATTTTCTTTTCTTTGTCACTGCAGATAAGAGACAAGGGACCTATTTGAGGCTCGACACTATCCAGATCTTTAAAGTGAGAAGAGCTCCTGATTGTTTGAGGAAGTAATCAAGTAAAATAAAGAAGAGGCTTACTTCATGGAATGCCAAAAGCCCACAGGAGTAAGAAATGTCAGTAAAGGACACCTCTAAGGATAACTTCTCCAAATCATGGGTAAAATTCTGATCGGCTTCTTTGCTATCCATGTCTGTCTTTATATGTATTATGAAGGTGTGTAGGTTTTTGTTGTGATGGAAAATAATCATTGATTTCTTGTGTGCATTTTTTGAGACTGAACTAAAATAAATCTGTCAGAATGGATTCTTAAGACCTCACCTTTCAAGCAGGTGATAGGAAAACAAACTGAAAAGAAAATTCAAGCCAGACTCGTTTCACTTATGACATTGTTTTATACAGTGACTACAGAAGCGAAGACACTGAGGGAATATAACATTTTCATTCATAAAGTAAAATAATAGTACAGAGGCCTCAAACTTGACTCTCGTATATCAGAGCTCATCAAATCCATCCATCTCTGCATTTTAATTACCATCTAAACCTCTAATAGATAGTGTTTTCAAACTTGAGTAACAATACATTAAAAATGGTTCACAGTGTCTCCACCAAATAAAGTAGAAAAGGAATTTGCAAAGTGCATAATCCTCTTCAAGATCTGAATAACTGCCAAGAACTAATTGTTTTATTGTGTGTGAGTGTGTGTGTGTGTGTGTGTGTTTACTCATGTCCTCATTATTCGAGTTTCTCTTCTTTAGAGCTAAACTCTTGAATGACTTACCAACAGATGAAGTGATGATTCCCATGATCATTTCTAAGTATAGCCCTCTTCATGTCTCATTTCTGACACCCACCAACAACGATTTTCTCAAGAACACTCATGAATGAGTGTTCTCGAGAAATATGAATCCTCTCTCCTTCAATTGTCTCTCCTTTGATTGAGTTCTAGATTGAGCTTCCTAGCAACAAGAGTCTCTCAGAATTCAGAAGAACATGGCAACAACCCCAGATTCCTCTTCACTCTGGCTCCATTATCTCTATTAAAGCTGGTTGCTACTTACTACTCAATATAAAAGCCCTGATTCCTTACCCTCATTGATTGTGTTCTAATAACTGTTCAATATGAATAAGACTCTTTTCCTTACTCCCATGTTCTTCATATACTCAATGCAGTTTGCTCATACTATGACCCTGGTCTCCGTTTATTTCAATATTGAACCATACTGTGGACCACTTGAAGGACTTTAAGTTCCATAAAAAAAAATGAACCCATTTAAAACATTCTCAGAGACACCCAGACATCAGCACTCATCTGCATATTTCTTCCTAAGGCCAATGAATGACTCAGGGAGACATTGCATATCTGCAGCTGGATTCTCTTGCCTTCCCCCCCCCCACACACACTTTTATCACGAGTTCTTAAGGGACCAAACTTGATTTGATAGTTTTCATGTCTGTATTATTTTTCTAGGGCTGTCATAGCAAAGGTATATAATGTAGCTTAACAACAATAACAAAAAAGAAATCTACTGTATGACAGTTTTAGAAGCCAGAAGTCCAACATCATGGTATCCTCAGGCCCCCAGTGCTTCTAAAGTTGTTAGGGAATGATTTAGTTCAGCCTTCTCTCCCAGCTTCTGGTCTGCAGCCACATCATTCTAATCTCCATTTACRATTTTCCCTGTGTCCAAAATTTCCCCTTTCATAGGGACACYGARTTACATCAGAGAACATGGATGCTAAGTCAAAAACTGTCACAAGGAACAAAGGAGGTCATTATATAATGATAAAGGGTCAATACATSAGAAAGATGTATGACAATTATAAATATCTCTGTGTGCAACATTAGTGCGTCTAAATATCTGWAACAAATATCTAC